CTCTTAAAATATTTTATGTATATAGAAAATATTTTAAGAGAAAACTAGTTTAAATCTTAGGCTTTAATAGCACTATTCCTCACAGTGGCAACATTATTAAATAATGTAGGGCTAGAACATACAACAGTTAAGAACACAATCTTATCTACAAAGGCTATTTATAATAATAGCTTGTTTCTAACCTGGACCTATATTTTTCCATTAGCAGTGGAGTTAAGTCATCAAGATAACAATGCAAAAAGATTGCCATTTTTTGCTTTTCTGAATTCTAAATAACTAAACGTATGTGTAGCAAACCACACAGATCTTGTGCCTAATCCAGGGTATACATCTTGTAATCAGTGCATGAGAATTAATGTTAAACTTGGGCATGTCTGCATTACATTGGCAAAACAAATCACAGCAGTACTCATTGCAAGCCAGTGACCACGGGACTGGAGCTTCCCAGTACATGACTCTCCTTGTTATTGCAAACCTCTCGGACCGTGAACCAGCTCTGGTCATGGCAGCCTTCTCAGCTGTCCGCTGTAGCCTCAGTCAGCCATGGCAGCTCTCCTGACACAAGCCTCCATATTTGGCCATCTGTTCAATGTCATCTCTTAACGCCAAGTGTTAAGAACTGTGCACTCCAGTTCAAGCTGAGCTAGAGAACTCATATGTAGGTCATTCAGTTAAAAAAATACAGTCATTTGTTTACATGGCCTGTTTCATTCTCTTGGCCTCAAGCACTTTGGCAGCTAAACTGGACGACTTCATAACATACAGATCAGCTCTGTGACTTTGGTTTTGCAAAAGCATTAATAACCATAATTCTTTTTAAATATTTTATCATCACTGCTTACATTTTTCACATATTGTGGTGGCTTAATGAGTTTCAGCCTTTCTCAGGAGTGAACCCCAATGTAGAAAGGCTTAATCAGTTCCAACTATAGAGCTGTTGACCAATGATTTTTTTTCTTTTGTACTTTCAGAATGGTCACCTAAGAAGGGGCAGAATATCAAATTACCTGTGAGATGAATTTAGTTCACCATACCATAGAATGTAATTATATGTGAATTTCTGAGGAATTTTTATGATGCAAAAAAAAAAAAAAACCAAAAAAAGATGGATTCACATTTGGAGGAAAAACTTGATAACTTGATTTTAACATTTTAAATTGTGTTAACATAGTATTACATGATAATTAATGATGTGCTATACATTTTTCAGTTTTGTTTAGTCATATTATATAAATGACAATTGCTGTCCAAGTTGCTTTATTCAGCCTTTACTACCCTATTTATTAACTATTTATTGACCAGGAACTATGTTTTTGAATGTCTGACTGACTAGATGCTAAGTAGGAATTTGAAGGAGTTTAGATAGGGCCTAAGCTATTTGTGTGGTAGGAAAAATGAGTAGTTATAATTATGTAGCATATTACTATCAATATATTACAATTATCAGAGTTATTTTTAGCTCTGTGTGTGTCAGACATTGTATAAAGCATTTAGTATCCATTACCTCATTGGTTAGGGCTATTTTCCCCACTTTACCTGGAGGAAATTGAGATTAAAATACAAAACAAGCCCAGTGTGTCACAAATTTGTAGCAAAGATTTGAGCTTATGTCATTTTGACATCAGACTCCCCATTCTTCACTACAACTGTAATCTAAAACTAAGATGCTTGGAAAGTTACCGATGTAAATTTTAAAGCCATAGAGAAATAATCTGTATAGGAGGAGAAATGCTTTCAAGAACTTTTGAAATCTTTAACACGACTAGTTAGCACACTGAGCACGGTCATTCTTATTTGTTCTTGAAAGCCTAAGATATTGAGTTATTCTGGACATTTGAACAATATCCTGTCTCTTCTTAATTCAGACTGGCCTTTCTTTACCAACCTACTGAAAATTATTTTCCAGATAGACATGGTAGCAATTTGCCAAAATAGCGACCCCAGGCACACCATTACATGAATTCCAACCCCTTTGCTTTTAGGAATATATAAAATGAAAGTTTGGGATAATGCCAGGAAATCAACCTAGCCAGAGTTACGTGAACATAAACAACACTGCCCTACTCTTCCCTTCTTGACATTTCTTGTTTTGGGGAGTGAGAGATCATTTTAAGAGGCAGATTCACAATCTTAGAGCCCCCGGTTTTGATGTTTGTTTTCTAAATATTAATCACACGTCTTGCTCAAGAGAATTTTAATAATGCCTAGTTGATATTTGTGGAAGGAAAGTCAGTTAATATCATATGAGTATTTAGATGTCCCAATTTCCGTGGCTATGGCTCTACTCTCCTCCAGAGAAAATATTTTTTGTTTTAAATCATAAACCTTTGAAATACATTAAAAACCAGTCCTGAAATTACTATTATAATTCTCCCCTGAACACCTAGGCTCTGTCAAATGCTGTGCTTTGTTTTATTTGTTTCTAAGTAGATGTCTCTCTCTTTCTCTCTTTTTTTAAATAGTTATTATTTGCTTCATTTGAATGGGTTTCTTTTGGAACAAGATGCTTAAATATATACTTTGATGTACCTCTCTTTATGTTGGAGGGTGGGGCAAAATGAACACATTATATAGTCTTAAAAAATAGTTAGCAATGCTACTTGAAAATTGAGTTACATTTTTCATATATAAAACATATGCCTGTGAGTCACTGGCATGTGCTTTTTATAATTAATAGGTAATGCAGACAGCCTGATGGTCATAAATGAATGTAAATGATCAAAATGTTATAAATGAGGGGCTGAAAGTCCAGTGACTGTTATAGTAGCTTTTTATTTAAATTTACATTTTAATTTACCTTTCAAATGTGTGAAATATTACTAGAATAAGAAACATATATAAACATTGATTTTTTTTTTTTTTTTTTTTGCATTAAACATTTTTAGAAGATCTTCCAGGGTCTTAGTTAAAAGGGGGGGAAAGAAAGACAAATTGGTTTTCCCGAGACATGAAACCAGACGGGTCAGCTCGGCTAATGCAGTTCCTGTGGTTCCCGCAGGCTGTGTGCGCCTCTGGTCTTCCTCTGAGTGGCTCTGCTGATGAAACTTAGCTCTGGCCTTTCTTTTGCTTTTGCTTGAACCTGCATTCTTGTGGGAAGGTAGTATGATTCAGACCACAGAAAAAAAGAATGACCTATTTGGCCCATGCCATAACCTATTTAACCAAATGGGTTTGTTTTCTATTTCTGCCTTCCTCCTGGAACCTGATCACATCTGTGATCAATAGACTGACAGCGAGCGCACGGATACTGCTGCTGATGGAGAGACCACCGCCACTGAGGTTGGTATAATAACTGAGGGTGGCTAGTAGTTACCTAATGAAAATGCTGTGTGTGTGTAGGAGTGGTGGGGGACTCTATATCGAAGAACTTTGCTTATTAGCTTTTAAAGTGGAGATAAATTCTAATTTTAACAGTGCGAATTAAATATATTCTATTGCCTAGAACAGTGGTTCTCAAACTCTGGCCTTCATCAGAATCTTCTGGAGGGCCCCATCTTCCTGTTCTCTTCAGAAGAATGTCTGGGGTGGGAATGGAGAATTTGCATTCGTAATGAGTTCCCAGGAGATGTTGACTGTCAATTTTAGGATCGTATTTGGCTAAACTGATACTTTTTTTAAAAAAGTGTTCACCTATCCCAAATGAGAGGCAGTTTTTGTATGCTAGCTGCGATGAGTGGAGAGGAGCATCATAACTAATTTAATTAGCTTATTGATTAGATACAGATATTTATTTAGCTCCCAAATGGTCAAATAATACTTGTTAAAATAGTAAGACTTCTCTTAACTTATTTTTGTAGGTTGGATATAGTATAAGTCACTCAAAAAATTGAATTCTCTAAGGAAGAAAAATTAACAAATAACTGTTAGTACTTTATTGAAAAAATGTGATCATATGGAAGAGTGATAGGAGAGAGACTATGCTATTATGTATCCTCTATTAAATCTAGGGTACATTAAATATGTGTGTACATGTGTGGCTTATATTGTTTTTCAGATCTTCTCTACCAATAACTAATTAAAATTTCTGTTAAAACAATATTTATCTATAGTAATGAAAGTCAATATATTTATTTCCTAAAATGCTGGCAGTATTTGTTTTTTAACTTAGTGATAATTTTTACTTACACTTGTTTTTTACATAATAATAACAATATTTTCTAGTTGGGTATTTAGAAAGAACTAAAAATATTGTAAATATCTTCAGAAAAACATTTCAAAATGGAGTTTTAAGTTTCTGCCTTTGGAAATGCCAGGGTTCAGTCAAAATCATAATTTTTTAAGTTAAAAATAATATTGTAAAACTTTTTCAGATTCCTTTAAGCAATCATATGTAAATTTATTAAAAGTTAATTTTCTATGCCACAATATAACAAATTACATCTTGATTTTTATAAGAATTATTAGTTACAGGTAGTACATGTTAACGCATTTACTAAATTTCATTGTAATTCTAAGTGCTATAAATGAAAAATACTCTAATAATACTTTAAGTTTATATTGCAATTTAAAGTTTTGTTGTATAACATTTGAGGCATGCAAACAAGTACATGTAACATAGTAGGTTGTGAGGCTTAAAAATAAAATGAAGAGCTGTGAACTCACCTTACACTTATGAAATACCCTATTGCTAACATGGTGTTAGAGTTAGTTACCTGTGTGCTCACTAACACTTGGTAAACAGTTTCCTTTATTTTATTTCAGGAGCCAGAATAACAGTTCAGAGCGGGGCATTCCGGGTAGACAGTCTTGTCCCCTTTGGCAGATAAGGAAACTGAGACCCAGAGAGACTGATTTGTTTATGGCCACTTGCTCAGGCATCTCCTCTCCTCGCCTGTAATTTTACTCTGGGCCTCCTCTGCAGCACAGGGCCATAAAACAGAGGTCCTGGGTCACAGTGCCTTAGGGAAGAAACGCAGCTTTACGACCGCATGCACATGTGGCTTGGCTTAGCTACCTAGTTTTTGGTACTCAGATAGCAGTCCAAGGATTAGACGGGTCCTTAAAATTCGAAAAGTAAAGATAACAAAGTGGCTTTTAGATGAATTCATTGTAATTTTTAAAACCTCAAAAATTATCCTGTCTGCATTTTTTAAAAATGAGGTTAATGTTGATGGTAGTTGATTTTTTTTTTTTTTTAATTTCCTTACTTGCTCCATATCTGCCTTCTCCCTTCCTAAATTGCTTAAGTGTATGGAGTTCAAGAAGTTCCACATTCCAAGAAATTTTTAAGTATGGGAACCTCTGTGTTAAATTCTTTGAGCTTTAGTTCTCTGGTCTACAAATCAGGGATAATAATAGCTAACCTCATAGGATTATTGTGAAGATTCATACATTACAAGGGAGGTCTCGCTATTGGGAAATCATAAACATTCTTATGAATTTTAATTTCAATGGGGCTCCTCACACTTCCTGAAACATTTCTAGTGTTTACTAAGGACAGCTCGCCAAGCCCTTGCTATCACCTCCCAAGCACATGTGTGCACTCATCACACTTGGAATTCTCCAGGATAAAGTGGGAAAGATTCACTGAGCAGGGACTCTTTTGCTCCTATATCCTTATTGTTTCATAATTTGTGTGTGAGAATGTTGTGGTTTGTGTATAAGAATGAAACGGCATTTATATGCAAGAGCAAACTAGTCGCCCTTTTAGGAAGTTTGTATAGGCCATACTTCTTCAGTCTTAAGAGTCACTTGCATGGTAAGACTTTATTTCCCACTCTTTCTTGTTGCTGGCAGTCGGACCAGGAAGAAGATGCAGAGCTCAAGGCACAGGTAGAAAACTAAAAATAAAACAATAGTAAAACCTAGTGTGTGATAAGTCATTGTTCCTCTATGGTGTTCAAATCTTCCAGCATGCTCCATAGCTGGTTACCATGTTGTTGGTGCAGTGTAGAGGATGACATTTGTTCCCGTGACTACCACGTCCCTTACCTTTCCCTTTCTTCTCCACTTTTTCAGAATAGTCTGATTAAGCGAATAAAGGGTGAAAATGTGTATGTCAAACATAGTAATCTTATGTTAGAGGTTGGTATTGGTATATACCAGTGCATGTTTGTGTGTGTTGATTTCTTTTTGTGGTATACCTGGGGGCTCATATCATGATGCATGAACTGTGTGCTCTCACCTATGAATAAGTGGGGATGACTTCTCACTTTACTCTGATTTCCTTCCTCTTTCTTTTCCTGTGTGTGTATTTATTTTAATTCTGTCTGTTACATGTGAATTTACATGTGAATTACACACTTTACAGTTTATCTTTAAAACTCTTGATTTTTATGCTTGCGTGAACTAGATTTTTTTTTCCTCTTTCTTCCTTGGAAATATCACATTTTCACCAGAGTGTTTGTTGTAGTGTCATGAGCCGTGATCAGTAATGAAATTGACATTACTTTTTTTAAAAAAAAGAGCTCAAAAGGGAAAATAAGTATAAAACACTGACTGTTGGATTCTTTATGTTCTGAATATAGGAACTAGATAAAACTCAAGACGACCTGATGAAACATCAAACCAATATTAGTGAGCTGAAAAGAACCTTTTTAGAAACCTCCACAGACACTGCCATCATGAACGAATGGGAAAAGAGGCTTTCTACCTCCCCAGTGCGACTAGCAGCCAGGCAGGAGGATGCGCCCATGATTGAACCGCTTGTACCTGAAGAGGTCAGTATTCAGGCTGTGGGTTGCAATTGTCTTCTGTTCACTAGCCTCACTTCTCTATAGGGGCTGCAACTGGGGAAAGGAATTGGCAAGCTTCTGGGTAGAGAATCTCACTACTTGTCAATGTGTAACCTGAGCTGACATGCTCAGTGCGCTAAAGAAAAACTGCAAAGTAAAATGATTAGGTGGCTAAGGAGTGAGTCAGTCACATCAAATGGTGCTTGGAGTGAACATGCCACAGGGACCTGTAGTGTCCATTGGCTTATTCTAACCATAAACCTAGATTTCACAGCTGGGAGAAATTGATATATACTATCTTAATGAACTGATACTTTTCTGCACATGCTTCTGCTACATTAAGAAATGCCCTAAAAACACTAAATGTTTCTTATCAATTGCAAGATGAGGCCTACGAGGTCGGCTAATGTTTTACTAAATAGTGATCTGAAGTTGATAGCATTTCAGGGCATATTTTATTCTGGGAATACTATATCAGACTTTTATTGGTATAATTAGTATTTTTATTTATAACTGATTTTTTATACATATAACTGATTATTTTAACTGATTTATAACCAATTTTATTTGATTTTCAATAGGGGAAAATGAGGTCAGAGTATCTTTTTAAATAAAAAGCTTTCATATAGGAAAGTTCTTTGTAAATTACTGTCAGAGTAATTTACAGGATTTAGCTGGATTGAATACTTCGAGGTTCCCATTGTTTGGGACCCACAAATGGCAATGGTGTTAATCTCTTCTTGAACCTTAGACATCATCTTGCATTATCTGTCTTTCAAAAGAAGCAGTATTTTAAAACTGCATGTTTCTAGCATCGTATTGATTAATTTCTTATCAAGACTGCTTTATTGTGAGATATTTGTCCAGGAAGCAGAAACAAAAGAAAATTAAAACTTAGGCCTTTATGAGAAAAAAATTCTTTAAACAGTATTTTACATGAAATGCTCAGATCCTTGTAGTGAAGAGAAGAAAGTAATTACACTTATTTTGGTTATTTTCTAAACTTCCTTTGAAAGCTATTTATCGAAAGTGACCACAATCATTATGTTCTTGACAATTCCAATCTCAGCTAAAAAGTGACAAAGTTATATATCCATTCAAATTACTTAGAAAAAAGTGTCCTTTTATGCAGAATAAATGAAAAGTACTATTACCAAAGTACTCTCGTACCATTAAATACCAATTTCATTCAGATGGAGCTGTAAGAGTCAAAAATTTCACATTCAGATTGATTTAAATATTGTAGTCCCTGTATTAAGAGTACCACTTGTTAGTTATGATCATAAAAAATGTCATTGTAATTGGTCAAGTTTGGCTTACCCTATGTCAACTATCTCTGTTGGAAATAAAGATCATTTTGGTTCTGAAGATGGCAGATACTAGACTAAGTTACAACAACACGAAATAAATAGCCACCAAAAATTATACAAACCAAAAAAGCCAGTCCTCTCTTCCCAGTCTGTTAATAAGGGAAATGATAGGTGGTAGCCACTTTGAATAGAAGTTTAGGTGGTAGCTTAGAGAAGTTAAAGTTTGGTACTGATAAACAGGGACTTTAGAAGTCTACTCTATTAGACTTGTTAAAAAAAGTATTTTTTATTTATTAAATCCTCTGATTCTTAGAGAATGACGGTGATGAACCCAAAGAACATTAATAGCTTAAAAAGGTGATACTTTGAACACACTGTACTTTCCTCGGATGTTACTGCCTTTTTTGTGTTTAGTGCAGAGAAATTGCAGTACACACAAGAAAGGGGTTTTTTGTTGTTGTTGTACTTGTTGTTTTTGTTTTTTAATGATAAAGGATGGAAACATGTCCTCTACAGAAGAGTAAAGCAGTTTGGTTATTTAGACTGGAAAAGACCAATAACTGGCTTAGTAACTGCTTTCAAGTGTCTGCTAAGTTGTTATGCCGAGGCCGTACCTCAGTGCTCCACTACCATCGTGAAAAGAGGAAATTGTAGAAAGAACTTGACTAGACGTAAGGAACTTCTTAAAAACAAGGCTAATTAATTAACCCTGGTTGTCAAAGATGTAGCTCTGAAAAGCTTCAAGCCCTAGAGAAAGAGAAGATCCCTTTGGAGTGGTCAGTGCTCTGCTCACTTCCCTCGACATTAGGGCAGGGGAGAGTGACCTAGGGGACTCTTTGGACCATTGTCCAGGACTCTTGATGACACCCAAATTTATAGACCATTTGAGGGCCCTGGAGAAAGTCCCACGAACAACCCAGAAAATTCTTGTGCTCTAAATTCTTGCCAATTTGTATGTTTTTTTATTTGTTTTATGAAAAGCACAGAAGAGAGTTTTATCGTCCCAGCTAGGCATATACAAATCATATTTGTTTACAAACATAACCAAAAGGTTTTTATTTTGGAGGGGAGGTATTTTTGTGAGTAAATTCTTAATATGATATCATCCTCTTATTTATCATGTTCCACTTTAAGTAAACAGTAATTGACTGGTTTAGAAAGAAGTCCAATTATTTTTAAAAGGAAATATGTAATTTAATTTTTAAAAGTGACGTCCCAAATAAAGTAATACTGTTTGTATCAGAGGGTGAAGAAACTTCGATTCAGTGGCCCCAAGCCTAGTTGGATTTCTTTGATGACATATAAATTTTTTTGGTGACATATTGATTTCAAGTATATAATCAATCTACTATATACTTGAAACTAATAATAAAATAAAAATTTTAAAAGTTGTGGGAAAAAAATCTAATGCCCTCTGATTTTTATTGTGACCATGTTTTTTCTATGGTCATTGACTCCTAAGTAAATCTATTTCTATCAAAAGCTACTGATTTATGAACAATTAGAAGAAAATTAGGAATTATAAATGTAAATAATGAGCTAGTAATGGTGATGATACTCTAAGAATATTATGTATATTTACTATAAAATGGGAATTTTATTGCAAATGGTTTCAAGTTTCAATTATTTGAGATAATAGCAGACAAACAGCAAGGATGACCCCAAGCAATAAATAATAGCAAATCCTCATTAACTTTTGAAAATAAACTCACATACAGGGGCCAGCAGACATAGGAAGGGTAGATGTATAGTATGTGAAGGATTGCAGGTACATCTTCTGTGCAGAAATATTTCCCATCACAGCCTTTTGTGATGTACCTGGGCCCAGTCCACATTAGAGGTATGTTCCCTTGTGGTTACTTGAATAGTAAGTTTCCAAAACCCAACCAAAATGCAGTTCCCGTTGGCACTTGTGCAGTGCCAGTATTGTTGTTTTTGTTAACATACCTAGTTTTATAGGCATATAAGCTTAGCACAGTCAATCCTCCTTATTTGTGGATTTCATATTTGCAGATTTACCTACTTGCTAAAATTATTGTAGCTCTAAAATCAGTATTAACAGTACTTTCAGTCATTCACAGACAGGCGTGGAGTTGTGAAAACTTCAAGTGGCTCATTGTCCACATTCCCAGCTGAGGATGAAGAGTGTGTTCTGCTCTCTTATTTCAGCTCTCATACTGTAAACAGGTGTCCTTTTCACAGCCTATTCAGTGCCACATTTTTGCTTTTTTGTGTTTTTTGTTGGTGATTTTTCTGTTTAAAATGGCCCCAAGGCATACTACTGAAGTGCCGCTAAGCAGGAGAAGGCTGTGATGTGCTGTGTGGGAAACCAGGTGTGTTAGTTAAAGTGTCATTCAGGAATAAGTTAGAGTGCTGTTGGTTGTGAGTTCAATGTAGATGGAGCAATAATATATGTTAAATAAAAGCTTTTTTAGCAGAAACATAAGACAAAGTTATATATTGACCAGTTGATGAAAATATTATGACCAGAGGCTCACGGGAACCTAACCCTGTATTCCCCTAGAGGACAGTGGTTCAGTATTCACTAATTCGTTGTTCACAGTGACTTTATGAATATAACTACCATAAATAACTAGAATCGATTCTATTTTTGCATTTGTCTGCTTTCTGGTCCAGCTCTACTTTTGCTATTCAGGTCTTAGATGGTCTTCAAATTGGACAAAATAATACATTCATGAAAGATCATCTTTTTATGGATAGGGAGAATTATCTCCATTCTCTGAATCTGACTTCTGTGATTTTCTGTCCTGGCCTTGGGGTGCAACTCTAAGTGCATATTAAAATTATCTATGGGAAATTTTTAAAATACTGATGTCTGGGTTCTACATCAGAATCTGATTTAAGTAGTCTGCGTCGTACCCCATGCATCACTATTATTTAAAATCTCTTCGCATAATTCTAATGCACAACCCAGTTTGAGAACCCTTAGCCCAAGCAGAAATGAGTGGCACCGCTATATGGAAACCCTTAATTCCCCAAAGAGCAAGTACACCTCTGAATTTTGAAGGCCAGCGTAGGACCTTGTTTCCCAATTATGATATAGAGGTGAATGTTTAAGTTAGTAAACAAAATGGTTGGGATATACATCTGACTCTGTTCTAACCCATTATATAAGTAAATGTTTTTCAATTATCAACTTTTCTTTATCAGTACCTCTTCCCTTCTCTTTAGCTGAACTAACTGGGTTGGATTGACCATATATATAATTTAATTCTAAAATCGATCCCATTAGTTGCTCTTTACCATTACTGGACATACCCAGTTCTGAATGCAGACAATATTGACATGTTTAGTTACAGACACAGACCTTTGTGAAATTAAGTGATGTCAGGTGACAGGATGTGCTGAAAACCACCGTTTTCCTGCTGTTATTGTTCTTTTAAGCTTTCATCTTAGGAAAAAGTGATTATAATTAAAAAGCCTAGCAGTGGTATTCTGAAAAGTACCTATAATTTTGACCCTTCTTTCTTGTTTCTTACTCCTGTTTGAAAAAGAGGCTATGATTGAAAGTAAAACAAAAATTCACATTTAATGATTCTACGTGGTAGATTTTGTCTCTTCCAATACCTTTCTCCAAATTGGGGCAGAACAGGGATTTTTTTTTTCTATTGAAAATGTCTTAATTTGTTCATATGTCTTAAAGGACATATGAAAATGACGCTATCAAAATCTGTCAGTAGGTTCCTCAGAAGAATATTCCAGATACTCCTTTATAACCTCTTGTAGGCAAAGAATTAAATGTGGTACTGACAAATTTATAGACACACAGGAATTTTAAATAGATCTCATAAAGTTATATTGTTAACAACTATAGAATTTATTTTAAAAGCTCCATTCTTCTAGAAACTTTGAACCTTCCGTTAATATTTTTTAGCTTCCTCTTCCACAGTATCCTTTCCATCTGTGGGTCTGTACACTGTGCATGGAGACAGGCTCACTCAAATTATGCCAGTTTAATACCAACGAGAAAAAAGTATATAGAAGGCAAAAAACTAATTCTAACATATTTACCTTAATGTTTCTTAATTTTGTATGTTAAAGATAAGCATGATTTGAAATACTTAGTTTTTCACTAAGATATTTTGAAACTGACTTTTTAAAATTATTCATGTTTTCAAAGTTCATATAAAGCTATAACCTTGAGTATATTTTATGTTTATTTGTGGAGCAATAAAGACTTAGTCTAGGCATAACTGAGTTTATTCAATTTAGTAGCTAATGCAGTGATCCGTGTGTATTTCTTTCTTTATTAAGCAACACTTGAATGGAGAATACAACCAAGTATTTGTCAGAAATAAAAATGAGGATTTATTCCTACCTTAATTTTAAAGAAAAATCTTAGCATTTTCTTTTAATATTCACTTTTATGGTGCTGCAAAAGACTGACATAGACACTGTTCAATATTAAGACACTGTACTGCTCTTTCATATTCTGTGTTTGTAGAAATGAAAAATGTTTGAGTCATACAAACCCGAGTTTCAGAAAATCGTGTTACTTTTTGGAAATAGCCATTCAACTTTGCGGTGGTTTCAGACCATTTTTCAAATTAATAAACAATAATTTACTTCTTCAGAAAAAAAAAATGAATGACTATTATATGTATAGCACAGTGAAAGAACTCTCATCCTAACTTGCCTTTTTGGAAACTGTCTACTTCCTCTTCTCCAACCCAACCCCCTTTATTCAAACAGACCAAAGAAGAAAGAGAGATTTCTGAAAAAGTTATATTTTTGCAGCAAGGAAGCTCTCCATTCCTTGAGTCTCAGGTAAAAAAGAAACATAAAAGAATTTTCCAAGAGGGAATTGCTCTTCAGATTTCAGTTTCATTAAAATATCTTTAGTTTTTGTTTTCCTTTTAAAATTAACCTTGTTTAAAACTAAGGTAGGTATATCATTTTTGCTTAGATTCTGGGGATGGGAAAAAGGAATTTTCTTACTATTGTAGTTATCAGTTGGCCATCATTTCTTTATGGCTTTTGCTCCTCGGTGGTTATATCTATGTGTGGTCATCGAAGCATTATGATTATACTTTCTAATAATAATGTTTGGACTTTTTACTGTCTGTTTTACCCATAGAGTGATGCTAATTTAGATGATACTAATTTGGATTTTGAAAGTTCTGAACTTGTATTGGTTTTCCCACTAGCCAAGTGCGATAAAGAAAATGCGCGAAGGAGACTCTGCAGGCTCTGTGGTTACCTCTCAACAAATCATTTTCCAGAAAACTGCCCCATCAACCCTAGAGGTCATTTTTCAATTCATTTCATTTAATCCAGCACCAACACGTAGATGAATCTACAATCTTTTTTCTTAAGGCACACATATTTCTAGATTCAAGTGTTCAGATAATGATAAAAATGAAAGTAGAAAACATATCAGTTTAAAATGTAAACCAAGGCGCTCATCTGGTTTGACTTCTCTTTTCTCTGTAATCTATTAGACTGGTCAACTGCTGGTGACATCCTATTAGGCTTCCCAAATGCAAAAGTTTCCTATCATTTCTTCTGTTCTATTGGAACAAACACCAAGGAAAGTTGCAAAGAAAGTACTGAGATGATGAACTTTGATTGTAAATAAAGTTGGAACACTTTATCAACCACTATAGCCCGTTTGTAAGAGGCTCCAACAATGTCCCAACAGTGAGAAATATTTCATTACAATGTCTTCAATGCAGACACACTCAATATTTATTGGCTAATAAGTGCAGTAGTGGATTTGATCTCCTATATAAGGAAGTATAATTTACGAACATGGAAAATAGTGTTCATAGAAATTTGTGGAATGCTGGCAAGTCCTTTGTGAGAATAACAGATATGAACTGTTAAAAGTATTGCATTTAATGTGGAAAACTATATTTTTGTGTCAACACAAGTAAAACGAAATAACTTGTACAGATGCTTCAATAATGTTATTTAATCTTGAAATACGAAATAATCAGACATTTAGCGTGAGATCAAATATATTTCTTGCAAAATTTACCAGCAAAGTATGTTTCCATTTAAAGAAATCTGAAATTGCAGCTCTACTTTCAGGCCATATTCCAAATTGAAAGTTTGAGTTTATGAATTTCAGATGAGAAGAGATTGCAGCCATAATTATTAGATAATAACACCAGCCTGTGCAATCACATCACAGACCTCAATGTAGCTCTTGCCCTGATTTTCTTAAAGGATTCTTATTTTAGAAATGAAATACCATCAGAATTTCTAATTTAGCTTTTATATTTCAAATATAGGGCACAGAGGATTGGGTTATTGTAGACAAAATACCTACTGAGGTAGTTGATGGTGATTCGAGAAAGATTGTGACTTACAAAGTGGTGACTGTGAGCAGTAAAACTGGTGACATCCCCGCCGACGTGTTAAGATTTAGTGCCATGGAAATGCAGAGCTTTGATGACTTGGCCCAAGAAATGCAATTGAAAGAAGAAAGCAAACAGAAAATATACACCTTAGGAAAATCCTATGATACTGTGTCCGGAAAAATCGTTACTATGACTGGAAAAGCCAAAGAGGGGGAGAAGGGAGTGCAACCCTCCACCCTTGAAGCGCTTCAGAAAATGGAGTCTGTGAAGATCATCCCTGTCATGACAGAGTATGAGGTCCTGGAGGCCATCGCTGATGAGAAATCCAAGAGAGGACCCGAAGTCCATACTCCAAAGCGGAGATTGTCAGAGTCCCTGGCTCCCATCAAGGAAGCCGAGTCCCGGCGCCAGAGTCCTGAAGAGGAAGACCTCAAGAAGGCGCAGATACTGGGGAGGGACGCGGCTCTGCACACAGGCC